TAGTTAAGTAAGCACATAGGTATATGTGTGAAAGAGAAAAGTGAGTGCTTTAGGAGCCTGGAGACATAAGAAAGGTTGGAAGTTCTGATGTGAGGGGATCTGCATCTCTGAAGGTATTTGAGACGTGTGGTGGTGGCACTAAGGGACACAGCTTGGTGATAAGACTTGATAGGTCAGGTTCTTGGTTGAACTTGATCTTGAAGGTCTTTTCCAACCGAAGTGATTATGATTGTGAATAAGAATAAAGTTTACTGCAGGGCATCTGTGAAATTCAAGTAACTGCTGCCTGTCACAAAACAGCTTTTTTTTTGTGGGGAGAAATGTTTTCAGGATTCAATACATGTAGTTGAATAGATAGACTCAAGTGTGATGGATGTAGAAGTGGAGAGTTATGAACACTTCAGTGACAGAAGTATGCATCTCAAAACTCTTTGGTAATAATGTAATGTGTGGACAATAGAAGCTGGTGAGCAAGGACGAGTAGCTGATGTACAGTATCTACACACTCTGGTTTCCTAAGGCAATTGTAGTGCTGGATTGCTAATACGTGGGCAAGCTGAATATATTAACACTGATTGCAGTGTACGTCACCTGGCAGCTTTAGCATATGTCTGTCTGTTTGGCAGAGTTTCATAGTTATCAAAAAAGAAGCCAGAGCTTTCAAAGGAATAAATTGTCTCATCTCTGCTGTGGCAATAATGTATTCTTTTCTCTTAGGATCCTACGTTCAAACCTTGCCCAATGAAGACACATTTTGTACTTCCCTTCCCAGTCAACTATATTGGGGAATGTGTTCGAACAGTTCCCTACACAGCTACAGACTACGCAAGGTAGGAATCAGGATCAGCAGGGAGCTTGTAGGTGTGTTGCATAACACAAAACAAAATGGGAAATTTTAGGCTGACTATTGAAAATGGAGTGTCAATAAAAGCTTTGTGGTGTATTTGTGACAAATTCTTTACAGAACATGGCTAAGTCCATGAATTCCCTGTTTTAGTAATCACTGAGATGAAATAACTAAGGGCTACTAACCCCTAACTTCCAAATAATAGCCCTGCTTACTTTAATGTGTCTGAAGTGACTCTCCTATCACATGTAACAGAGTTGCAGTTAGGAGGCTGTTTTTGTATTTCATTCAGGTGAAATAAATAGATTTAAAGGACTGTTCAAAAGTAGCAACTCTTACAACTATGTCACTTTACTCAGCTGTTGTTAAATGTTACTTATTTTTAATGTTGTAGATTACAAGAAGCAGTGCGTTGTAAATTGAGATCTGTTTTAATAGTAGAGGCAATTGAGAATATTACTGTTATCCAATTCACTTAACATCTTTTCTATTATTTCTCTCATTACAGCCTTCGAATTCTTGCACGGTTGATGACATCTAAGTTCCTACATAGAGAAATAAGAGAGAAAGGAGGGGCTTATGGTGGAGGTGCTAAACTTAATCACAATGGAATATTCACTTTCTACTCCTACAGGTAAGTTCATATCTCAGGGGACCACTGACTACACTTGCATGCATCTTTGACTTAGTTGTAGCTCTCCTTCAAGATTAAATGAAACAAGAAGGATATTGAATGACAAGAAAGTAATTCAGCACTGAGTATGCAGTTAAGATTAAGCAATTAATGTATATCAGATTTGTTAACAAACCTCTCCTTGCTTCCTCTGGTTTCTATCCCTGGGAAAGTCTAGTTTCTCTCTGCTGGTTTAGAAACCAGTGTTGTCTTTGCACCAGGTTTATGTAAGACAGGTTTGATTTATTTTGCTATGGGTTGAAGAGTCTCATAAACTTTTGCTGGAATAATTAGAGATTCAGCAAAAAACATTCCAAAAGCATTGCTAGTAATGAGCTAGAATGGAGAAAGTATATTTTCTTGTCCACTTTTTGTCATTCTGGAACAGTTAACCTGCTTTAGTTTTACAAAGGCACTTACAGATGAAGTTTGAATTGAAAGTATTGAAGACTAGCTATAATCCCCAATAGAAATGTTCATGAGTCTGATAGAGTTCTGTTTTAAATCGTTTTCTTTACCAAAGATAGACTAACACAGTACTTGGGCAAGATTCCTGGCTAAAATCTGAGCAGCATTGCCTCTCTGCAAAGTTTTCAACGTGGCAGGACTTGTCTTGGTTAGTATTTCAGTAGTTCTTGACCTGTTTCACCTGTTTTACGGGGAGCAAAAAGAGGTGTAGCAGGAAAAGCAACTTAAAGATATGGTATATCATAAATACTGCTGTTGTTCCTAATGAAAGCTATGCCTTCTAAGCTGCTGAAGCAAATTGATAGTGGATTGCGAAGTGCTGTTTTACCAGCTCTTTAATACCAGTTCTCTGCACGCTGCCATGAAGCTGCTTTTAGCAACTGAGCTTGCTGCCCTTGTGTAGAGCAAAAATTCAAAATCCATTTGGTTCACAGTATTCTACAAAGTTTGGTTTATGTATGCGTGTTCTGTATAATGCAAAGTAAAGTGAATGAAGTAAGAACAAAGTAATTACTGTTCTTCATGTTGTAAGACTCAAGTCAGTAATTTCACTTTTTTCCCCACTAAGGGACCCAAATTCACTAGCCACCTTGAAAACATTTGAAAAAGCAGTTGAATGGGCCAAGTCTGGAGAGTTCACGCAAGAAGACATTGATGAAGCTAAATTGGCAGTATTTGCTGCTGTAGATGCACCAATAGCTCCTTCAGATAAAGGTACATTCTCACCAGCCTCTAAGCACTGGGATATTTATTTGCCTTTAAATTTAAAGGAGAGAAAGTAGTTTGCTAAACTAAATCATACAGTAAAATTTGTACTTGGTGGATGCTGATTACCATTGCTCTTTTTCATAAATGCTGAATGTGTTCAGTGTTTCTACTGAGGTATATATATTCAAGCTGCTCCTGAATATTAGGTGAATGAATACAGTTAGAAGATGAAGATGGAGGAGAAAATTTGGCTTGGAGTTAAATATAAGCAATTATAATAAAAACTGCCTCTTTTTTTTTAATAGAAGTTACAAGGATTATTTTCCAGGCATGAATATCTTATTTTTTTTTTTTTTAAGAAGTTAAAACATAGAACTAAATCACTTGCCAAAATAGAGTGTTGGTTTTTTTTCTGGATAGGTATTTTACCCAGTCTGTGATCTTTGGTTTACAATTAAATTTTGTCTCAGAACGATTGTCAAATTGTAGTCTCTATTCTTCCCTTCCTGCACAAGTACTTGTCTTACTCTGCACTCCTTGCATGCAGTTGTAGCTGGGATTCCAGTACGTTATTGTAGTATGTGGCTTTGTTTTCTTTTAGGTATGGACTATTTCTTATATGGGATTTCAGATGAAATGAAGCAATCGCACAGAGAGCAGCTTTTTGCTGTTAACAAAGATAACCTGGTTGATGTAGCAAATGAGTAAGTCTGTGCTCAGAATACGGGGGGGGGAAAGCTGCTTGTTTGAAAAATTGCACAAATGCTGAACAACTTGAACAAGTTTGTAAAAGTTGCCACAATTATTTCTTCTTTCATTGGCCTTTTGTCCTACTTTCACTATTTGCTTTTGTAACCTAGAGAGATTTAATTATATCCTGTATCTTACACTCTAGCAGATGTTACTTCCCTCCTACATTCTGAATCTTCAGGTGATTGTTCTACTTTTCAAAAGCCCAGAAACTCTCTAAAGAACGTGTCTACTCTGCTGTCCAACTCCTGGCTAAATGAGTTAGTTCTTCTCAACTCCTACCACTTTGTGCTTATTTAGACTTGAATTCCACTGCAGAAGTTTAAGTGGATAGGCTAGTTATGTCTAGGCCCCTGTGACTGTATTGTGATGTCTGGGGAGAAAAACATTGTAAATTCAAAAAGCTGCTGTAAAAGCAAATGGGTTTATATCCAACAGCTCTTTCTCCTGAAATATTTTAACTTGTATAGGAGAGGCATAACAGCAACTTACTTGTTTCTTCTTGCAGGTACCTTGCAGTTGGGAAGAGCACTCGTGGGCTGGCTGTACTTGGCCCAGAAAATATGGATATCACCAAAGATCCCTCATGGGTCAAACGATGAATAGCTGGCTGAACATCCAAGCTCATATGAAATAAGTTCATCTTTGTGACTATATTACCTTTTTATATTTTTAACTGAGCTACTTCAATTGCTGCTCGTAGCAATGCCCAACAAACCAGTTAAAACTGTGTAAAAAAAATAAAAAAAATTAAAAAATGAAGTTCTAACCATATAGTATTATAGGGCAGGAATGATTTGTTGTTATAGTAAAGATAGACTTCAGTATTTTATTCAAGATTCACTCCTTCCATCACATAAAGATACTATACAAATTAAATATTTTTGTATATGTAGAACTTCAGAGTTATAAAAGGCATTAGGTTGAAAACATGTCTGCTGTTGGATATATAAAGTGCTATGTCTCTTATATTGGTTTCATTCTTTCTTATACTAATTCCAGCTTCCTCTCACATGCATGTGCCAGTGCATTCCATCTCACATCAAGCCTAGTTTATGGTGTAGTTTATAGTGAATGGCAGTATAGTGGGCAAATACATAATGTATTTAAATTCAACTTTTCTCTTGCCTGGTTAGGGAACATTTGGTCAAATTTTGATACTACAGGTAGTACTTAATTTTGTGTCATCACCCAGTTAACAGAAGCCTACATGAGGGAATGGTTTTTTTGACTGTATGTAACAAAATTTTAAGAACTAATTTTGTTCTTTTCCATTATTAGGGAGAGGAGCTATAGCCTTAAAGAAGCTATAAGAAAGGAAATGTGAAACAAGGGCCACCTTATGCTTTTCTGAATCTTTAATTTTTGTTCCTGAATTATCCCTGTACAAGGAGAAAAGAGTGAAGACTTACTAGCTTAAATCCAAACCAGCAATGAGAGACAGCTGCATTACTGTCCTACTGTCTCCTCCTGTGTGGAGGAGAATTCTTCATGAAGCATGGTGTTCCACTTGTTTAGAAGCAGGTGCTAATACAGTTTGACACAGCACATTCATGATGTTTGCAACAGTACTTTATTTCACTTCAGATACAGTAAGCACATCCTGTAACTTTAACACAAAGCTAGCCCTCTACACTTATTTTTGGGTGTAAGTATTCTGGAACAAAGTGCAGTGGGTGAGTAACATTTTACTCTTTAGTAAGTGCAACACTGATCTATGCACTCTTTATCGGTAAGATGGTGTTTATTCATTTAGAGGCTAGGGTTTGTTTCAAACATAACACAAATACAGGACAAAGAATCTGTGTGACATGTGAATGTCGTGTTTCACATAAAGTGCTGGTACAATAACTTAAATGTTACAAAACAAAGCTGTAACGATTCTAAAGCATTGTTACTCACAATGTGCATCTATGCCAACAACCTAAAAATGATCTTTTTAGATGGCTCCGGTTTCTGCTTCCTTTGGGCTGTGCATTGCGACATGCTCCAGCTGGCCCGAGTCTGAAACATCATAGCTGGTCTTGTACTTGGCCAGGATTTTCATCAGTGGTCGCAGCTTCAGCCACCACTGCTCCATGGGAATCCTATGTCTGTGTAAGTGGTAGGCAGGAAAAAAAAAGTGAGTCATAATGAAGTAGCTAAGACAAGTGTACTGTAGCTCATTTGGCAATACCAACAGTAATAATAATCTTCTTTATAAACAGGAGCAAGTATTGCTCTTTATTAGCCCAAATAAGGATTTATTCCTAATAAGGAATTAAATGAGATAAGTATTAAGGGAGTAGTTTGAAAAGACAAGTGAACAAAGTGAATCACACTCTGAATGAAAGCCAGAAACAAAAGCCCAATAAAACAGTTGGCAAATGCTGTGTGTCAGCACTGTGGCAAAGATGTTCATTTGATGTGGTGAAAGGAAGCCTGTTTTGAGATGTTTGAAATGTAAGGAGAGTATACATACACAAAGTCTGTTTCATTCTTCAGCTCAGCTACTGGTTGGAAAACAAGGTTGCGTCTGCGCATTCCCAGCAAACAGACAGAGTCATCAGTATTGGCAAATACTTTTCCTAAAAAGAATGAAATAATTCAGCATCTTTTTTATTCACACTTGTATGGGAACAGGCAAATTATTTGCAGTTACTCTATATTTAACATAGTAGTAAAACATCAATTAGTACTTTAATAGGTTAGGAGATCTTTTTAAGTTTATCTTTGGTGATTAGCCATGAAAATAGTGCAATTAATAAACTGTAAAATTGAATTTGAACATCCAGATTTAAATTGGATTTTAGTAAATAGTGTTTCATAAAAATTCCCAAAGAAGACATATTACCTTCTTCTGTCTCCCATGTAGCCATCATGAAACAAAAAGGAAGAACAAAAGTAACTATGTAGTCAGCAATTCCTTCATGCATGATAAACTGTAATCACACTATCATTTTTAAAAGGTTGGTAAGAAAAACAGCTAAAATATCAACTGATGAAAGGGAATCTTACAGCAGAAACCACATCAAGACATTACTGAATAGTAAAAACATAAGATGGAAAGGAATGCATTGACTAGCTAACATGTTGAAATATTTTTGTAGGAAAGTTGTCTTATATACTGATAGCTAACTGAGGGCATTAACAAGATAGCACTGAGTATTTCTGCACCTTTCCGGTAGGTTTCCTTCAGTTTTTTGGAGATCCATTGCATAGCTTTCGCAGAAATTTTTGTCCCAAAGTTTCTGTCAAATGGTGAAGGTGCACCACCCTGTGTGAAAATTTAACTGAGTTAATTCAGTATTCACATTATTCTGTTTTATCGGTCCCTTCTGTTAATGGCCTGCTCTCTCTCTTAACTCCATCTTCCCCATCTCAAACAAGAGTGAAAAACCTCTCTCAAAAAATAAGCTGAATCATTTAAAATTTTTGTTATTCCAGGGTGGAATCCCCAGTGAATCAATAATACTTTTCACTCAGTTAAATGGAGGGTGTTGTTTGCCCTTTCATTTTCTTTTCCCTCAGTGCTGATCATAAAACACTGGCAAGCTCTCACACTTTATAAGGTAACCTAATTTCAGCATGAGATAAAGCAGGCAATTTAGAAATTTAGCTCTATGTGTATCTTTGACTCTACTTCAGTATTGTTAGTTAGCATAGCCAAAATAGAAACTCAGTTTGCCTCCACTAACAAGCACTATAGCAAGATAAAGAGGGGGAAGGTACAAAGACCATAAAGAATATTTAAATGTTGTCTTTTCTACCAGGATAATCCAACTGCACATAATTTCTTAACCAAATTTTATCAGAATTCAGAAGCCAGATAGAACATAACTTTCTACCCATCCATAACCTAAAGATGTCTTACAAGAAAAATAACTGTAGGATCTATGAAAAAAATGTAAAATTTTATTAATATAGACAGAGAAATGAAAATAAGAAGCAAAAACATTTTTTGTAGATTTTAAAAAAGGAATTACGATCAAATTTGATGTTAATAAGCACCTCTGAGTTATCTACAAACAAAAATCCACACATTTTCTTTAATCCTGAGTCAGGATTAGTGTATGCTCTTTAAGCTGATAAAGTTAAGCACGTCTGGAAATGTTAAGCTCAGTTTTACCTGCTGCATGTGGCCCAGAACATTTTTTCGACAGTCAAACACTCCTTTTCCTTCTTCGGAATACAGCTGATAAATGAAGTCAGTTGTGTAGTTCTCATTGCAATTCTCATTTCTGTAACAATTCAGGCCAAATACTGTTATCAAATCAACTATTAGTTGTAAAGACATTCCCTACTTATTGCACAACAGATGTTTTCTCAGTTTCTTGATACCAGCAATCATCACTTGGATATCTAATAATACTGGTCTGCTTTCATGTTTCATAGATGTGTTATTTTTACACCACCCACAATACTGATAGGTCAGCCTGATTCCATTATTGAATAATGTAGTGAGAAATAACATTTTAATTCCAACAAATTCACTATGCAGATGGAAAATGCATAATCCAAGTAGATACATATTTTATATAATTTATAAACACATAGATAATGAGTAATACCTGTCTGTTTCTCATTAATACTGTAAATGTCAAGTATTCCTTTTTTACCCTGATCACATTAGCAATAGAATCTATACAACTATAATGGTTTCCTTATACAATTTACTATAGCATTTATTTTTCAACTCTGCTACTCAACACACTGAAAACAGATCTTTATAGGGGGAGGGGGAGAGAGAGAGAGAGAGAGAGAGAGAGAAGCTGTGGACTGATTAAGGATGTCTATGAATGCATCATTTTAAAGTATGTTTTAGGGATTATGATTTTTTGAAAAACATTTTATCTTGTAAAACCTAAGTATAATTTTCATAGTAAAGGCTGTAACACACATATGTACACATATAGGAGTTTCCACATTGTTAAGAATCTGAAGTAAATGACAAAACAGGCTGAAAATAGAATAAAGTATCAGATCAGGGAGCAAATATATTTCCATAGAAAGAAGGAAGTCTTCCATTTCAGCTTCCAGGCAGCTCCCAAACTTGCCTTCTGGATTCTGCTAATCATCTTGTATTACACAGAACAATTAGAGAATATAAACTTAAGAGTGTCTTCATGAGAGGCCAAACAGCTTTGACTGCACTGAAATCACAGACTTCATCTACTGAAAGCACTTTTGCTTACCTCAGCACTAAACCACGCTGGATACTGGTTTTCATCTTTTCAGTCAAGTGTTCCACATTAGCCTAGGAACAACAAAGGCATTTTTTAAGAGCCATGTAGAACCCTTTAAAACAACTCTAATAAGCCTACATATTGTCTTATCCTGAGAATGTCTATAAAGGGTTCCACATCACATATGTGCAAATTCAAATCATAGGAAAACATGCAGTGTGTGGCTATTCATCTTGGGGTAAAAATAACTTCATCCTCCACATCACAAATAACTTATTTTTAAATAGCTACGTAAACTTATTTTTCTATGTGCTGTACAGACTGAGAAGCTGGATGAACTTGATAGACAAAAAACATATAGAAATTGTCATAAATGATCAGATGCTGCAGTTAATTCCAGTCCTTGCAACAGAGCCCATATTCTGCTGTGTATTCAGCTTTGTATTTGTCCATGACATAAGCTAGAACCAATCACCTCAGAAGTATAAAAGACTGATAGTAGATAAGGTTCCATATCACCTTATCCCCACGCATTCACATCCTAATCTGACATCTTTATTTAAATAACACCTCAAAAAAATGCTCTCAATGATTTCATTATCAAAGTCAACGTCAATTCCATTATACATCACTTTAAATTTCTGACCCGTATAGCATTCTGACAAATGAGCTGAGGAAAAGGTGTTTCTTTTGATATCATCTTTCTTCTGAAACTACCCAGCATTTTTCATTTATATCTAACTTGAATTTCTATCAGAGGAATAAAAATGAAACAATTCCACTAACAACATTTAGTGGTCAGTACAATCATTCCATCAGTTAACCTAATGCCAAAAATAACGGTGTATGTTCCTTTAGGAAATGTGGAATTACTTGACAGTGCAACTGGCGAGCACAGCTTTCAGTTACAGTAGACAGATAAATTTTCAATTTTAGCTATTTACTCCAAATGTAGTCACATATAAGCTATATAAGCACAACAATTTCAGAATGTACTTAAAAACAAGGAAAACATTTCTAATGCTGCATACCTGGAGCTCTCGAATGTCAAACTGTTCTTCGAAGATATAAGCAGCATCAGCTCCTGCTGCAAGGGCTCCCATATTGGCCAGGTAACCACAGTAACCACCCATGGTCTCAATGATGAATACACGACGTTTGGTACCACTGGCTGACTGTTTGATGCGATCACAAGTCTACTCAAAGACAATATATTAGAAATTAAGAACTCAGAATTTTTATACTTTTATGTGTGCCAGGCAATTCTGTGTCACATATTGATGAAAGACTTCGTTAAAAAATGTATTAATAACCCAATTCAATATTGTAAGTCATCACATAAAGTAATTTTTATAAGCCATACATAAGAAACACAGTCAAAATATTCTGCTAGCATCAAAACATTTGTTTCACATTCGAAAAATAAATTTGTCTCGTGCATAGACATAATAGGTCATGATAGCTTTATAACTGAGACACTAATTCATATAGTAGAGCTTTTTAAACAACTTGAGTATATATTTTTCTGTATTTTGACTCCATTTATTATTGAAAGTTTATATAATCTTATCACTGATTTTAAAATTCTCTGTGTTCCAGCCTATGCTTAACAGCTACAGGCCTTAGACATGTTCTGCCCTGTGAATTAATAAGGATATTCACATAAATATAATTCTCTCCAGCACTACTGGAGTAATTGTTCCTGTTTTTATTGTTTTTATTTGCATCTTGCTCTGACCAGCATAAAAAATACTCTCTACTAATAGATATAATGCTCACATAGCACTGATAACACCAGTATTTGCTACAGTTGCCCAAGAGACTGAAGTAGTCATGGAAAAAATTTCCAGGACCTAAGAAACTTATATTACTACATATCTCCAGGCGCTTCAGCAGCACTTGAGAAACTAGCTAACAAACTCTCACTTCCTGGAATGAAAGTATTTCTACAGCAACTATTCAATGTTATTTTTGAAGTTGTTAGACAAAGGTGCTTCCTTTCAGGAAGAGATTAAGTAATAAGTGTTATATGGGAGCTGGTGACAAGAGAAACTATGTAAACAGAATGTACTGTCCCAGCATTGTGTCCGTTTGATAAAAAAATAAGAAATGAAGGCATCAAATCATAGAACCCTTAGAGTTGGAAGGGACCTTTAAAGGCCATCTAGTCCAACTCCCCTGCAATGAACAGGGCCATGCACAGCTACATCAGGTTGTCCAGGGCCTGATCCAGCCTCAACTTGAAAGTCTCCATGGACAGGGCATCAAACGTATCTCTGGGCAACCTGTTCCAGTGCCTCACCACCTTCACTGTAAAAGAGTTCTTCCTTATATATAACCTAAATCTACCCTCTTTACGTTTGAAGCCATTTCCCCTTGCTCTACCACAGCAGACCCTACTGAAGAGTCTGTCCCCTTCTTTCCTGTAGCTCCCATTTAGATACTGACAGGCTGCTCTCAGGTCACCTCACATCTCTCTCTCATCCAGGCTTAACAGCCTGCTCTTTCAGCCTGTCCTCATAGGAGAGCACTTGACAATTTCATCATCTTGAAATTTGAATTATGTTAGTTTTAAAAAATCCCCATGCCTTAATAACGTTCTGAATGAGCAGTTACAGATCCTGTAACCTTTGAGGCATTTTCAATCTCACAGATGTTTACAACCAGATAACTAAATCAGATAACTAAAAATAGGATTTCAAGCAGAAATTTTGACTGAACTAAATGGGCCTCAAAAATATACCAAAACAGACCACATAACAAATACTGAAGTTACACGTGAAGAAACAAATTAATGATGTTTAATACATTCAATTACTAACACTACTAAGTATCTAAGTCCAGCTATCAGAAGATGCATGTAATATCATATATGCATACTCCCCTCTCTCCCCCCCATACATGCACAAGTGCAGAATTCACACAAATGCATTCAAAACAGACTGTCTTTCTGTTCAGGATAACAGAATATATCTGTGTAAACTAAGAATTTTAGACTGAATGTCACTATTTTTTTCAAGACATTCCTTCCTTTTACCTGTCTTAGACTTAACAGTGTATTCAATCACTTGGCTTTCCTGTTCCAGATGTGGTTTTCTAAGAACTGTTGTAGAATGTTAAGATTTGATATATGGATATAAAAACCTCATTACTTTTTAACAGTGGCAGGCATTAACTTATTAAAAAAAAAAAAAAAAACTGCCTGGAACTGGATTAATACTTCATTTAAATTATGATATAAAAAAATACTGGCATTAGGGATTGAAGAAAAACACACCTGAAGGTTTCCTTTGCTTTGAAAGACCTAAAACATTTGTTAACTCCATGCTTTCCACATAAGGTTTCCAGCTGCTGGTAACAGAACAGAATTTTCTGCTTTTTTATAAATTATAATTTTGAGTAAAGACCTAGATTGTCCTAAGCAACGACAATCATAATTTGTTTTGGGGATTACTCATTTTAGATTTATTTAGAAGAATTTAGAAGAATTACTGACTATCAAGGAACATGCAAGTAGAAACTGCTAATAGAGAGTGCTATTCTTGCCTTCTCAGAATGACTTGTGACAGAAATACTCAAATACCAAAATGGCACTGATCAATTTTAAAGAAATTCAGAAAGTAACTTCCTTATTTGTAACATATAAGATATACTAAAAAGCTCCTTATTCACCCAGCAGCTCAAGACTTATAGGATGCTTTAAATTAGACTAGACCAAATATCTCAAGGCTTGGAAAGACATGTATCACTGCACATACACATGTATTTAATGCCAGTGGTGATCTTCTGCAATATAGCAGTCATACAGTCCATCCATATGCCTGCTGTAGACCATCTTTAAAAAGTGGTACCATATTGCTTTCTAAGCAACACAATACCAATCCCCATCATGGCAAGTGGTATCATTAGGTATTAAAACCAGAAGTCAATTCCTGTGTGCCTCAAATTCCTGAATGTTCCCAAAGTTTTTTATGGCTTTGCACTACTGTATCTTGCCACATTGCTATCTCTTTACATCCTAGAATTTTCATGGTGAAATTTAACTCATTTCCAGTGATTGTGATAAGAAAACAAAGAAACTGCTTTTTACAATGAGGTTATATTCTATGGTTTAGAAAAACTGCAAGTACGTACTGCATCTCCCACTGACCAGCCCATAATGTATTCTGATGCAGCACATTAAAAAAAGCTCCTGTAGATAAATGACTATGTAAGTAAATCAGTACCTGAGCAGGAAAGCAAATCCATTCAAACTTTCTTGGTCAACTGCTTCATAATTATTTATGTGTATTGATAACGGGAGTTCAGATGAAACTCAGAGCTATTCAGAGGTTTACTCACTTGTGTAAGTTATCATCCCAGATCCCTTTTCTGTTGTTTCAGCAGACTTTGTAAAACGTAAAGAATTACAGAGTTCATACAGCAGTTGTACCCAAGGGAAAAAGCAGACTGTTCTGATCAAAATGGAAAGCTTCAATCACAGCAAGATCTGTCCACAAATCAGCATCAGTGACAGACTAAACTTCTTGTGCAATCCTTATATTTACATGCACTTAATAAACGTTAGCCCTAATGAAGTCCATAGGATCATTCATGTGTTTAGCACTAACTACATAACAGAACATTTTAAATACACTAAGTTCACTCACTGGCCCATGAAATAACGTGGCATTTGTCTACGATATCTGCTTTCATCATTCAGCTATGAGGAGCTACTTCAGTTAAATAAAATTATCATAAAATAAATTGAAATTTTAGAACAGCAAAATCATATTTTTAGAGAAAAACAAAAACAAAAAAAAAAAACACACAACCCTAATCACTAATGCAATAGTCTTGGATAACAAAACAGAATCCTCAAAAGATGAACACCAATTATAATGAATTATTTTAATCAGTCTTGGAAAAAACTTCTAAAACATAAAAATGACAGTGACTGAATTATTTCAGAATGCCAGACATTTAAAGGTCTTCAAGTATCCTGATCTTACGCATTTTATCATCTTAACTTTTAAAAGATATGTAGTTCTTACCTCCACAATAGCATTCAAGGCAGTGTCAGCACCAATGCTAAAGTCTGTGCCTGGCACATTGTTGCTAATAGTAGCAGGCAACACACAGATAGGTACGCAAAACTCCTCAAAGCAGGAACGTGCCTCATGTAGCTGCAGACAACTTTCATAGGCCTGAAGCAGTGGTACAAGTATGAGTGATACATTCCTTGTCTTTGGATTACTGTGCTAATGACTCCTTGCATGTGCTGGTAAATTTGGCTGTCCATTGGCCCAAATACAATTGGTGAGATTATTGGGGGTGCATCCTGTACATACCACAACAGTGCACTGGGCTTGCATTGGCACAATGCTCTTTGTAGAAATGCAGATTAGTGCAGGTTAATACAGAGTGAATATGAAGAGTGCGCAGCATTAAAGGTCTGAAGCAATTTAGCAGAAAAAGGCAGCATAAATGTAGATTGGAAATCTTTCCACAAAAAGAGACTTAAAGGACAGTTTGAAACATGTTAAGGAGTTCAGAAAGTTACCTAGAAAAAAAAGTCTATAATTTAAAAGAAATACATAAAAAAGGGTTTTTT